TGTCACAGGGGCTGGAGTGGTCTCTTCTACAATGGGTTCTGGTAAGAGATGAAAAGTGCCACGGGTTAGGGCTGGGCCAGCTGACCTTGGTGGATCCCCTGCACTGAGCAGGACCAGCAGGAACCAGTGGGTGACCTCTCGGGTCACTCTGGGCCTTCCCCCACTTTGGGGTTCCCAACCTGGAGACATCTCATGTCCCTCACACAACCTCCCGCCCCTCAAGGGGCATACTTATGGGGCAACAGTTGCTGGCTCAGGGGGTGCAAGGTCCTTCTCTGAGCCTCCTTATGAGGAGCTGACCTGTTTGAGGGGCTGCCATCCCACCTGATGCCTCACGGTCCAGCCCTGGAACTGCTGGTCCAAGGCTTCCTGACAGCTCCAAGAGGGTTCAGAGCTTGGGCCTGCACCCAGGGGTCGGAGTCCCCACGGAACAGGCGTCACTTTGCTCCACTTACCACACAAGGAGTCGACACAGAGGCTGCCCTGGGGACACTGTGAGCACGAGGGTCCCTCCCGGTACGGCTGCCGGCCTCGCAGGTTACCCCTGAGAGCAGGAGACACCGAGAACAGGAGGCGTGAGGAGAGGGGGCAGGACCTAAAGAGGAGTCTGATCCAGCTGGAGTATCCTGCTCCAGACAAAACTCAGGATTCCTGTGAAGAACCCAGGTCTGGGTCTCCTGGCACAGGCTGCCAGAGCTGTTTACTTGGTGGCCTGACCCCACGGCTGCTCCGACCAGGTGGGACAGCTCCACGGAGCAGATCCCTCACCACCCCTCAGAACGAGCACTCAAGGGGCATTTGGAGATGTGATTTCTGCTGGAGTATCCTGCTCCAGACAAAACTCAGGATTCCTGTGAAGAACCCAGGTCTGGGTCTCCTGGCACAGGCTGCCAGAGCTGTTTACTTGGTGGCCTGACCCCACGGCTGCTCCGACCAGGTGGGACAGCTCCACGGAGCAGATCCCTCACCACCCCTCAGAACGAGCACTCAAGGGGCATTTGGAGATGTGATTTCTGTCTCCCTTCTGCTCAAGGCTCCTAAGGTCTGCAGTGAACAGCCGCTCTTGTTGGCCTCAGGAGTTCTGCTAGTCCCGGCGCTTGGCAAGGGGCCACCCACCTCTCTCCTCCCAGCCCAACCCTTTCTGCTGGTGCAGATGCTTCTCCAGCCCAGGTGGCCGCTGCTGCTGGTGGGAAGAGCAGGGCACAGAGCAGGGAGCTGCCGTGACATCAGACTCGGGCAGCTCTGGAGGGGGAAGGTCCCTCCCCGGGTCTGTGCCAGCAGCTGAACCAGACCTCAGCAGTCACAATCAGGGGCAGGGATCACCAGACAACCCTTCCTTCCTCTGCGACCAGCCCAAGATAACAGAAACCTTTCTTGGGATCGCCCCGTTGCTATTTCTGAACAGGGGCAAACCCTGCTCTGCCCTGGGGCCCGAGGGAAGGACCCATCCAGGCCAGGACCCCGTGGAGAGGCGCCCGGGGGTGCCAGGGGGGACTCACGGGGGGTAGTAGTTGCAGACGAGCAGGAACATGTCCTCTGTGTCGATGCCCTCGATCTTCTCACAGAACTTGGCCCCGCAGCCCACCTGCCGGGTGCTTGCCCACACCACCTGTGGCACAGAGAGGGGTGAAGGGGGCTGGGAAGGCAGATGCCCCGTGGGCAGCTTGCCCCTGGCCTTGAAGGCTGCTCTGTCACCACATCGATGTCCCCCCTCATCTCTTAGATGCTGTACTCCCACGTTGCTTTAGCAATCAAGGTCCTGCCCCTTGTCCCTCTCAGGGCCACCTTCCTAACCTAGGGCTGTAGCCCACGTAGCCACAGCTTTTGTCCCAATAGTCCACCCAGGCAGAGCATCACCATCTCTGCTTTAGTCCTGGAACATCCATCCCCATAGTTACCACCCCCAGCTCTGCTCCTTGCTCCCACCCTAGCTGTGAAGAAACACCCAGAGCTCACAGCTCTGCCCGAGACAAGCTGCCACCCGGCTCCACAAGTACCCAAACGGGGCTGCAGAGCTTGTTTAAAAAAAGATCTTCTCCAAAAAGCTGCTACCATGCCCAGATCTCCCTTATCACTGCGACTCCCACCTGGTTCCCCATCCCTTTGGTGCAGCCCCTTTCCCCACAAGCCCATCCCTCCTCCCCAGCAGCCTGGTACCTGGGTGTAGTGGCCGCACATCTGCCCGGGGACACACGAGGCCGTTGTGAAGTTGTAGAACTTCTCCTCCCCGTTCCAGTCTTCCACAGCAAACTCCAGGTCCAGGGTGGGGGCCATGGCAAAGAGGTTTTCCCCCCGCCGGCCCCGCTCCTTGTTGTGGTCCCAGATGCATTTCTCTGCGTAGGCTTGAGCAAAAGCCTCCAGCTCCTTGTCCCAGCTCTGGAAGGAGCCTGGTGTCAGCGTGCAGGGAGGGACACTGGGCTCTCTGACGTACACAAGGACATGGACCAGGGACCCTCGAGGCCTCTGCCCACGATTTCCCCATTCATGTTAGCTGTTGAGTTTTCTAGTTAATGATAACCTTTTTGTTAACCCTTCCTCATTGCTTGTGAGAAATATTTATTACTTATCAGCATATACTGATGTGGTTCTTTCCTTTTCTGGCTTTTTTGGTATGTAATAAAATAAGCCCATGTGCAGCCTTTTATCAGAGGATTAAAAAGAGGAGAGACACTATTGGAGTGCATACTGCCCTTAAATCTAGAGGAGCCTCGTGTTTTAAGGAGCCTTTTCCTTTCTCAGATTTGGTTGAAGTTTAGAAGGGTAGGAATGAAGCATTGTGGTTAGGTGGCTGCAGCACGTGGCATGTTGATTGGGAGGGGTTGAAGAGCAGGGAGATTTTGGTGATTGACAAGGTCAATTAGGTGATGAAGGCCCTGGAGTCTCCTCTGGAGACATTTCAAACCTGCCTGGACACGTTCCTGTGTGGCCTGCTCTAGGTGGTGCTGCTCGGGCAGGGGGGTTGGATGAGATGATCTTTTGAGGTCCCTCCCAGTCTTCAACATTCTGTGTGATTCAGGAGTAAAATCCAAATCCCTGCCCAACACAGTCCTCAGGAGAGGGGAGTTCCACAGCCAGCCCCAGCACAAACCCAGCCTGAGCTGGGAAGGGAAGGTCAGCAGAACCCTCATCACCTTGCCTGGAGCATCAACTCAGCGTGGAGAAACCAGGCAGTCAGCTGGAGGAAGGGAGAGAATTCACCCCAGGGCACGCAGGAGGGGGTCTGGGCACGACCAGGGTGGGGATGGGAGGAGGGCAGGAGACACCTCCCCTCGCAGCTGCTCCTGGGAAGCATCATCTGTTCTCCTGGAGCTGAGATGTGGTGGCTGCCTGCCAAGAGTCCCCTCTGGAGCAGCAGCGGCCCCACCGCCCGCTGAGCCCCCGGTCCTGCTCCCCACCGATGTGCAGCAGGAGGAGGAGGAAGAGGAGGAGGAGGAAGAGGAGGAGGAGGAGAGGTTTCCTCACAGGGAGGAACCCTACACCACAGATGTTTGGAGTGTCCTTGTGCTGTCGGATGGAGGCAGCAGCTTTGCTCTGCAGCCAGCTGGAAGCAGCCCAGCAAACAGGGGGGACAAACAGGCTGGAGCTGGGGGGACAGAGCAGAGCCATCGGGGGGTCGAGGGGATGTGGACAGGCCCCTGAGCTGCAGCTGTAAGGAACGGGTGGGAAGGACACTGAGATGCCTGGAGGAGGGCACGGAGCCCTGGCTGACCTCCCACCACGGCCCCAGGCCAGGCTGAGGGCGACGGCTGGTTTGGGGAGCGCTCGCTGCTCACCCTTTGGCAGGGAGCTGGGCTCTGGGAACGGGCTCCCACCTGCTGGATTCGCCTCATTAGAAAAGAAAAAGTGGCTTTTAAGCTCCGTATCCCCCATCACCCGACGATTGCCACGGCAACCAGAGCCCTGTCCCAAACAGCAGCGTGGGGTGACCTCAGCCGGGCACGGCGCCATGGCAGCAGGTGAACGTGGAGGCCAAGACAACCCCAGAAAAACGTCCCAGGAGGGAGGTGAGGACAACGCTCTCGTGGAGAACCTCTACCAAGAAATTGTCAGGGCTGCCTTAAGCTAAACATTTGTGCTTCCAAAGCCTTTGGCTCAGCACTCCGAGCGGGTGGTTTGAGCAGAAACAAATCAGCCCGGCACAGGGGAGCATCTCCAAGCACAGGATCTGCAGCCAGAGCTTCAGCCTGGAGCAGCAGCCACCACTTCAGAGCCACTGCTGACTTAAGGGCCCCAAGAGATTGTTTCCCTCGGGCTTTCTCTGAGAGTTTACCCCCCCAAGCCCTTATCCTCTGAGTTTTCTGTGCCTTGCTCTGAGTGTCTGTGGGATGATGGTGCTGAAGGGTTCTGGCTCTGTCCCCGCTGAGTCTGAAGTCACTGGTCAGACCCCCTGGACCTGAACAGAGTTTTTTGCTTCATTTGCTTGGTAAGCTCCCATGTACCAGCCCACCAAGGTTTGACTCAGCCTGGGCAACTTTTGGGCCAGGCAAGGAGATCTCCTCTAAGCACGCTGTGGCCAAAAGACCAAAACACTTCAGCTATCCCAAATAAACTGTTCTCCTCCTCCTCCTCCTTCAGTGTGTTTTGCAAACAGTGAGGAGCAGCACACGTGGTGCAAGATAAAACACGATAAGCCAAACGTTAATCAAATCAAGGGTCCAAATAAGATAAAAGCAACACCAGCCTGAGAGCTTGGGTTTGCTCCCACACGTGATGCTGGGCACCTGACTCAGTTTCCTCCAGCTAAAAGGGGGATCCCTCACCCCCAAGCCAGCCCCACACAGGTCATGGTGAGGATTAGGAGAGGGAGGGGACACCCAACTGAATGACCTGGTTGACATGTTTGAGGTTGACAATCCCTCCTACAGATAAAAGCCCCATTCACCTGCAAAGGCAAAGGGGAAGGAGCAGGATTTCCCCCTCCAGCCTGGCCAACATCTCACCTGCCTTCCCCCCAGCACGAGCTCCAGCAGGTGCTTGTTGAGTGAGAGCAGCATCACTCTCACACAGAGCACCAGGGGACCCAGACCACGCTCAGGAACTTCCAGGAACAGCCAAAGACAACCCCACAGGTGAAGCTCAGCTCTTTAGAGGCACTTTAGGGAACCCCTCCGTTGATACCTTCTTGTAGCCCTACACAAGAGTTGCTCTGCCTGAAGCAAACCCCAAACCCTCCCAGCATTAAGCTGGAGGCTCACGTTGCACAAACCCCCTCTGACATTCCCCTGCAGTAGAAGCCACTCACCATCTTCAGCATGTCCATAGCAGGAGGAGAGACCTGGGAGCGGTATTTATTGTGCCCATCCAAGATGATCTTCTTCTCCTCATCACTCAGGGACCAGCTCAGCTCCAGCACCGTGAGCACCAGGAGAACGGGAGGAAGCCCCGAGCTCAGCATCGTGCAGGCAGCTTCTGCTCTCAGCAGCCCACGACTCTGGCAGTCGGATTTAAAGCACCTCCCAAAAGCGAGGAACACCCAACAGCTTGAAGATTGGGGAGGAAACGCAGTTCTTTATTAGAGCAGGGGTTTGGAGCAGCCCACACCCAGCTCACATATCGGCCCTGACGGACGAGCAGCAGGAGGGCTGGTGCCAACGAGCACCAGGGGCTGCTCCCCAGCCAGAGCTCGTGCCCAGATTGTGACCCCTGGACTGGCATTTTCATCTGAGCCTCTGCTGCCCCACACCTCACACGTCCCCTTCACCCTCAGTTAGGGGTCTTCTGCCTCCTGGCCCTTTTCTCCTAACTGGGGTTACACCAGGGTCCTCCCCTGAAGCTGCATCTAGAAAGGAAGGGGAGAAGATGTGACCACAGAGAGCGGTTTGTGGTGTGGTGGCTCCCCAGGCAGGATTCAGAGCCCACCTCGTCCAGCCCCGTGTCCCTGCACCACCCGAGCTGAGGGGAGAGCAGCAGGCAGTGGGGAACAGCCCCCCCGGGGTCCCCCAGCCTGGTGGGGACATGGGGAAGCAGAGGGTTGATGCCCCTTCCCTGTGCCATCAGGAGAAGGGTGAACAGGAGAGGGAGAACAGGATAGAGAGCTGAAATTGCCCCAAAAAGGGGAGCTGAGAGGCTTTAGGAGCCTTTGGGGCTGGCTGGAGCAACCAGGAATGAGCTCACAGGACCAGGCTGGGCTCCCTCCCCGGGCAGGCACCTGGGGAGCTCAGGTGACCCCACTTTTACCACCATGGAGACTGTCTGGCAGAGGCCTCAGCAGGTCACCACTCGTTGTTGGCTCTGCCTCCCCCTCTCCCCTCCCAGCCCCCCAGGCCATGCTTGGCTGTTCCTTTCCCTTTGGCCCACATTGATCACCTCTCACAGCAGGTTCTCCTTCACTCGTTGTTGGCTCTGCCTCCCCCTCCCCTCCCAGCCCCCCAGCCCATGCTTGGCCTTTCTTCCTTTCCCTTTGGCCCACACTGATCACCTCTCACAGCAGGTCTCCTGCTGACCCCCCCAAATCTCCCACCTCTGCATATTACCTTCTCCTGTGTTCAGCCCAGGGTCTAACACACCCTCAGAAGTCCAACAAGATCTGCAAGCAGGGTCTGAGGCTAATGTCTCAACAGGCTGCCTTCATCTGGTCAAACCAGAGGTTCCCCTTCAGTGCTAAGGTGAACAGCAGGGCTGGAGTCTGGGTGGAGGAGACTCCAGGAGCCTCGTGTGTGAGGAGGAACAGCCAGGAAGGATCAACGCTGGCTCCAAATCCTGCCAGCCTGGCTCACAAGGAACAAGGCTGTGCTGAGAAGACCCAAACACAGCTACTGGTCTCTGCCAACCACAGAGTGGTCTGGGTGGGAAGGGACCCTCAAAACTCATCGAGTCCAACCCCCTGCCCTGAGCAGGGACATCCCCAGCTAGAGCAGGGTGCTCAGAGCCCCGGCCAACCTCCCCTGGGATGGTTCCAGGGATGGGGCAGCGACCACCTCTCTGGGCAGCCTGGGCCAG